TGCGTTGCGCACCATCGTCAAGAATAGTACCGCCGGGTGCTAATTATTGATTAGATATATTATTAGTATATATACATTTTATACATTTAGCAACACGATCATAATGTATGTATATCAAAATTATCAAAAGTTTACGAACCTAATACACCACCGGTAAGAAGAATTTCAAATAAAGTTTCACCGTATTTTCTATATTCAAGTGTGTTACCAGCAATATCCAGTTGTTGATAAATATCGTCAAAGTCTCCAGGCTGAGCGTTATTAAGTGTTTTTAAAATACCTTCTCTAAAAACTGAGATGATTAAAGTTTTTTTTTTTAGGTAATTATTTTGATTATAAGAAACTGATTAAAAGTTAAGACAGAAATTTTACCAGTAGGTTCGTACTTGGCCTGAGCTTTTTGCAGGCTCTTAAATATAAAACAGAAAAAGAAGTTAGCATCCAGATGGAATATAATTTTAAAACTTTAATAAATCAGTAAAGTTGATGACAAACTTTTCTTGTCTTGATTTTAACACCATGCAAAGCAGGTAAACCCTTTGAATTGCCGTTATGTGTCGCACTCATTAAAAAGTCAAAGTTTTTTTTAAGTTAAAAATTCGAATTAATTAAGAGAAGACGATGGTCAAAAAATTAGATACGATTAAAGCCGATGTGGGCGTTTTTATATTATGCGCCATCTTATAGACACCTTAATTTAAATTAAAATATACATGTCACGTGATTCTAAATCATCACATGAAAATTATTATTAATGTGTGTTATAAATATTGAAATATGGTAAAGACTGTGATGATTTAACATTTAGCATCACATGTATAAAATATATGTATATATATACTTGTAATATTTCCTATATCAATATAATCGATACTCGCTATGCCTGAACTAATTTGGAATACTTAAATCTATTTTTATCTATCGAAAATATATTTTTATAATATTGAAGATTGTTACAAAAATAAAACAATGAGAGTGTATATCAAAAATCGAGAATACGGATTTAACCTGACGAAACACTGAAATAAATCAAGAAAAACGAAGGCTTAAAACTATCTCAGGGAACTAATAAAAAAGTCAGAGAAGCAATTTTTTTACGAATCCATTCTTCCCTGATCCTAACACAAACCCTAAATTTTTTTATTTAAATATGGTTTTAAATAAGGAAATTTTTACGTTTTGAAAGAACCATTAAAATTGCCCCAATATCTGCATGAATCAATTCGGTATTTTTATTAGAGGGGCAGAGGATTTCTTTTGCAGATTCTTGGTAAACATACCCGACCGGTACACAGTCAACTATCGATGTAATGGAAATCTGAACTAGCCTAAAAAAAAGTTGTTATATTCGCTATACCAGTATAATCTATATAATGGACAAATATTAAATTTCGTCACAGACTTATTTTTCATACTAGATTCTTTTTTTATAATAATTATAATAACGACAAATAAATCGGTTATGGAACTGCTCTCTGATTGGTCTCCGGCCGATGCATTATATAATCTAAATTTGCTATCGATACGGGTTATTATAGCGTAACAATATCAAATTAGTAAGTGGGCTGGTAAAATGCCTTTTACTATTATACGTATAACAATCATTTTTAAATTGCCTATTAATTTCCAGTAAATTTGGTATAAAGACTACGTATAATAAAGACTATAATAACGATAAAGACTATAATAAAGAAGTTTGCTATTTATTATTGTCGGCCGTAATATACTGTAATATATAGTTAGATCAATTATGTAATAAAATGATGTATTTCAAAGTCGTTAGTAAATTTTTAACCAATTATATTACAGTATTATATGATTGCTTTTAGATGTCTAATTTACTTAAAGAATTAAAGAATTGTACGTGTAATTAAAATCTTAAAATGAAATTAAAATTTTTACGTATAAAAAATTACCCAATTTATATATATATCTGATATAAAATTTTGCGCAGAGACGAAGCGCAGAATGCGAAGAATTTTTAATTTTTCCGGAGTGATCGCCAATCCGAGTTACACGAATGGATTTGTAGCTATAAATTTGTAATTCTGTAATTTGTTATTGAAAATTGTAAAACGCGTCGAGAATGCCTGTTCAAGAAAATCCTATAGTTACATTATCAGCTATTATTCCGCAAATTTTTCAGGACTGTCAAAAATCTACAACCAATCACCGGAAAAATGCTATAGCTCTTCGAAAAGTGCAAATGAAATGTTCCTCATATAGGTCTACAAATAATGGATCGTCTAATAATCGTTTAGATAACGAACATGTTTTTAATACCGAATTTATCAGAAATTTGAACAAAATTTTACCAGTAAAAAAAGGTCAAACAAATTCCGAGCGTGTGATAAAATTCGTAGCTTCTTTTGTTGCTTTTAGTTGTGAAAAAGGTTTTTATCTTTATAAAAAATGCGTAATATTTATGAATTTATGAATTTATTAATTTCTATAATTCTATATTAGATAAGGAACTTTTGAGAAATCAAAATGATAGTACTGTAGTAGAAGATGATGATGATGATGATGATGATTATGAAGATACATTATCTTCACGATTTGCTGAATGCCTTATCCAGCATTTGTTGAAAGGCATTGAAGCCAAAGATAAAAATGTAAGATTACGCGTTTGCCAATTAATAGCACATCTCATTGGTTGTTTGGGCTCAATTGAGTAAGTTAATATGCCAAATATATATGCTTGTTATTCTATATAATATTTTGACATTTCTTCCATCACATCTAAGCGATGATCTATATGAACGTTTGAAAGTTGAGCTGACTAAACGCTTACTTGATAAAGAAGCTGGTGTACGCGTAAAAGCTGTCCTCGCGTGTTCAAAGTTACAAGTATGTTCACTGAGTTAATTTTTGATAATTATCTGTGCTAAGATTTTATTGGTAAACAAGGGTGATGATGATCATGGAAAATATGTGATTGAAAAATTCATCGGAATGTTACATAATGACCCAAGCGCGTAATTATAAATAATTTCTTTCTTTTAATGCTATATTGAATAATTAACAATACTCAGCTATTAAACCTTGTATTTATTTGACTTTCAGCGAAGTCAGACGTGCTGTTATATATAATATTGAATATAATGAAGAAACTTTAGCTTATATATTACAACGTGCACGGGACGTCGATCCAATGAATCGTCGAGGTGTTTTTATGAAAATAGCTGAAGAAATTAATGATTTTCGCGTTTTATCTATCGAAGATCGTGAAAAATTATTAAGCTGGGGTCTTACGGACAGGTTAATGTTATATTCTGGTTTTAATCGATTCCACAAAAAAGTAAACAATAATGGTTTTTATTACTGGTACCACACGATACAGGGATCCTCATGTGAAAAAAGCATGCGCAAGAATGCTCTCAACAAGTTGGATTCAACAAGCGAACAACAATTTATTGGAGGTACTATAAAATCATTAGTTGTTTCAATAATAAGAATTTAATATAAATACTAATGTCTTTTTTACTTATTAGCTGCTTGAGCGGTTAGACGTTGTGGGAAGTAATATTGCCCAAGAAGCTCTTATATCAATATTCAAGGCCCGTCCAGATATAGTTCAAGTGTTAAATTTTGATGGTAGGTTTATTTAAGATTATATTTTATCAGAGAAAGTATTGAATTAAGATTATTTTATTTCACTACTTTAGATCTATTTTGGGAAAATTTGACAGCCGAGGGAAGCTTTCTTGTACGCGTCTTCTGCGAATATAACAAAGAGGTCTGAATGCTATTATATTATTATTATTTTTATTATTTTTGTTTACGTTTACTTATTGCTTTAATTCATTGTAATATAGGACGAGGGAAAGCTTGACGAGATATTACCAGAAGTGACGCGACTTGCTTTTTACATTCAGAGATATAATAATTTCATGAATCAAGCGTCAGATGAGGAGCAAGTAAACTTAGCATTTATTGTTGGTCAATTGTTTTTGTTGGCCAAATTATTAGACTATGGAGATGAAGTTGGAAGAAGAAAAATGTGTTCCCTTCTACGTAAGCCCTTTTTCGGTATATTTCACAATAATCGATCAATATTAATCTTGTGTTTGTAATTTAGGTGAAATGCTTATGTCTTCCAATATTCTGGAGAGCCATATTGAAAGCATTGTAGAGATTGAGAAAAAAATTTCAATTAATGAACGAGATTTCACACGGTATGTATAATAGTATGTTCGGTACCATTAAAAGCACTGACAATCATTATAAAATTTTAGTTCTATGATTGAAATAATCACTGATATCCGTGAAGGCATAGAAGATGATGAGGGCCCTTCACGACTTACATATCAGGTAAGTGTGTACTGTAATAGTTATTTTTATAATAATTGATTTTTATTGATATTAAAATTTCATATATGCTTAGGATGATTATGATTTATCTGTGAACATGTCTCGTCTCAGTATCAATATATCTTCTATGAAGATGTCCGTTTTATCTACCGATCTCAAACAAACCGACAGAAGGGTTTCAAATTCTTCTACGAATATGGATGATAACAGCGTTCTTCAAGAAGACAACGAAATGAAAGTTATAATGGTTAATTTGAAATGTCTGCATATAATACGTTGCATGCTTGAAAAGAATTCAGAGGTTTGTCATAATTCCGTACTTTCTTTTTTGTTCTAATGATGATAATTACAATTCATATTCAAAAATTGTTTAGAGTCTGCGGGATAACCCATCGATGTATGGCCTTATGAACGAAATTATTATACCTAATATACAAAGTCATGAACCAGTGCTGCGAGAATTAGGCATACACTGCCTAGGTTTATGTTGTATACTTGATCAAGTGGGTATGAAAGTTATATTGATTTCATAAAAATTTTATATTAATTAATTATCTTAATTATTTTTAAGCCTCTCGCGGTAGAGAACTATAGTTTATTTATGCATTGTTTACGCCATGGACACCCAGAGCTGCAAATTAAATCCTTAATGGTAATAATAATAATAATGCAGTAATTTATCATTTTTTTTAAATCAAATTTAAAGTTACTTATTGTGAAATTTAAAGGTAATGTCGGATATTCTCATGGCATACGGTTATTCAACAATAGTTTCAAGTACTCGACAGGTAAATTAAACAAAAAAAATTCCTATTATCGATCGATATTATATTATATTTATTTTTTTTTAGGGTAATGAAATCCTGGGGTTACTACAAGAATGCTTTAAGAATGAAAATGAACAAGTGCAAGCTATCGCAGTTATAGGATTATCTAAGTTAATGCTTTCTAAAACGTTGCGTGACAAATATGTAAATGAATTTACATTATCATGTGTTTTTATAAATTTCGACAGTAGAATTTATCATTTCATTTTTTATACAGGTCTTAAAAGAACTTGTATTATTATACTTTGATAGTGATACTGTATCAAATCTTCGTTTGAGACAATGCTTGAGCTATTTCTTTCCAGTATTTTGCCATTCTTCGTTTGAGAATCAAACTTTAATGCAAGAGGTATTTCAAAAACATGCTATTGTATATTTTAGACCGATTTAGCAGTCTATTGAGATATATTATCTTGCTTTAACTGCTAGATATTCCTCCCAACCCTCATCGAATTATTGAAAGAATACAAATATGTTGACAAGAATGACAATACGGTGCCGCCTTTACAGATTGCACAACAATTGGTGGATTGGACTAACCCATTCAAAGTTGTGTGAGTATATAACTTTTTAAATGATACATGTTTTTTTTATATATTAACAAATTCTTATAAAGTAAATCAGAGCAAACTGAAGATACAATTGATTATGGATCGCATGCTGAACTTGCAATTTCTGTTATAAGGGAACTTTTCTCCGAAACTGACAGTAAGTGTTAAGCGACAATTAATACAATTTTAAAAATAAATAATTTATCAAGATTTTATCCTGGCAGAGGATATAAGGAAATTGTTCTGCCAAGTTCTAAATAAATTCCAGATTGATGAATCTGCTGGTGTTGTGCGGTTTAAGAAGCTTACTTTTCTTGTTGGCAATTTGAAAACAGTAAGTTTCGTTATATAACTTCTATCAATAACAAAAGGTCTTCATGACTACTTATTTAAGATTTATTTTTTAGAAGCGTCCTTTGATAGATTCAGTAGCCAGAAATGCATTAAATAAATTTGAGAATGCCTTACTCAATTATTTCGACGATGCACCTGATGCCTTAGACGATAACGAACTTGAACAATTAAAGGACATTGTTGAATTTGTTGATAATCTTGAAGGTTATTATTCATTTATCCTAAAATTCAATATTTTAAAAATTTTATTTAACAGCGGTTTGTATAGAACTTCCATCAAGAGCTTTACGGTCGCGGTAAGTTATGATGTTTAACTTATTAATCTATTATGAATTTTTATTTTAACAAAACAAACCATACATATATATATATAGGAGATCAAAAGAGAATGCGATTTCGCATTTAAGGAGCTATTCAGAATATAGTAGTAGTTAATATTAACCAATCAAAATAAATATACAATGTTAGAGATTTACAATTAGACAATCATGTTTATACTGTCGTGAGTTTATAAATTTATAAGGCTTTAAATTACTGGCCAATTGAATTTTATAATGTTATATTACAGCTTTTTGTTTAATAAAAAAAAACTCTGGCTAACATACAGTATTGTCCGAAGGACTTATCACGGATCAGTCTGACAATGGGTATTTTCGGAGAAATGTTTGTTTTTATCAGATCAACCAATCAAACCCCTTAATTTGCGGACACACATACATCCAGGTCACTATGACTCTCCCGTAATGTCCTTCGGTATTATCAGTAGGGATGTGAAAAGTTCGGTTCGGTTCGACTGGTTCCAGAAGTCGAACCTTAATTTAAACTCGGTCCGGAACAAAGACTCATTCTATCATGTGAAATTTGTGATACCATGTGATTTATTCAAGTAATATGATACACAGTATTATATTTATTTATTTATTTTCTAAAATACTAGTTTTTAACCAATTTTTTAAACACAATGAAGCTCTAGTCATTTGTTCAAGAAGATGGTTTCATGTAAGACTAATTGTATGCTTTGCAATAGAAAATGCATGCTTACATGGAACGCTTGTAGCTTAAAGGTAGGGTGAATGTAAATCATTTCTTATATAAGTAGATTAACCAAAAAAATATTACATATGAAAGTTTTTAAAAATATAATCAATTTTTATAAAAGTTTTGGGGTAGATATATTAGATCCTCTAATTCTAATTATAATAATTTGAACCCCTGTATTATTTAAAAAAAACATACTTGCATATATTATTAATTTTTCCTAGGTTGATCGAAATTTGCCTAGGTTACACAATATAAATATCATATGATCATCACCTGATTTCAATTAAATGTTATTGTAAAAAAATTAATAATGTAATTACTAGTAAAAATGATCAATGTTTACCCTACTCTTAAAGTGTATAATAATTTGCTGCAATAGAAGCTAAAGTTAGAAAGTAAATAGAATTATGCTTCTACTATGTTAAGGGATTAGTATCTGGTTCTGGGGGTGAGGCAAGGTAGTTAGCTATTTCAGTTGTTAATCTTTTGAATCAGGTATTTCATTCTTATTTAGTTGAGCTAATTTACAAATACTATCTAAAGAATTTTTTGTTTAGATGACTCAATCACTTTATTAGTATAATATATTGAATTTAATTCTTTTAACTAAATTATAACTAATTAGTATTCTATCTTGTTAAAGGTTTCAAGTTTAGTAGATAGATCAAAAATTGCAGAAATTATAGAAAATGTGAAAGATAAAGCCAGTAATTTTCTAATTTCACTTTTATCTTACTTGCTACTTTATTATATACATTATTATTTAAAATATAATGATCTAGATGCATAAAAAAATCTTGAACAATTATTTGTAAGGATTCATACAGTAGAAAGGTAATGAAGCATTTGAAAGTATCAATGTTGTTTTATAAAAGATTAAAGAAATTTTAGCATGTCTTCAATAATTTTCCAATTATTTAACTTCAGGTATTTATTTTTTAAATGTGAATATGATTGAACAAAACTATCAGTAATATCTTTAATTTTAATAAGCTGTTTAAGTATAAGAAAAGTAGAGTTTCACCTCATATTAATTTCAAGTTTGAAATAAAGAAAAAGTTAATTTAAAATAGCTAATATTTTTTAGAAATAATAGTAAATATTTAACTTTATTACAGAAATGCCATGTTTTTTTTATTTGGTTGCTTTTACAATAAGGTTTAAGACATGTATAGTGCAACATATATACAGTATATCAAATCAGGGTTTATATTTTGATGAAGGTTATACAAGCAAGTTTGGTTATTCACTATATTATCTTCAGTGAATCTGATTATTTTTTCTTTAATTTCAAAGTTCTCTATAAGCTTAAGGATATTTTCTTCAAGATAGTTACTAATGTGGGTATCGTACAAAGGAATAAAATTAAAAAAACAGTATATATTATTTATTCTACATCAACCCAATGAATGGTAACTCTGAGGAAGGGCTGCTGAGTGTATGCAGTTCATATATCTAGAGTAAAAGCTAGTTTACTTTGATTATTTTTTAAAATATCTTTTATTTTTAATTTTTTTTAATTCAAATTGTTGTTTAATATCATCAGAAATAGTGTTTCGAATCGAGCCAGCTCTGTTAGGCTTGACCAGATTTGGGGTTGGCTCGATTTTGGCTTGAAAGGCTTGCGAGCTAGTAGTATAAATCATGTAATACAAATCTTACTTAATTAAGCTCAGAATATATTATAACTAATACTTAGTAGTGTTGAAGTTCTGAAGATCATTTGAATCTTACTTACAGTATATGTCCATTTTTTTTTCCATAGTGTATTAGTTTTAGCATAAGTAAAATAGGTATTATAAGTTGAAAGTCCAAAGCTTCAAGAAGTTTGAATCTTATATATTTTTTTTTATCACATATTATTTTGTAGAAGTTTAATGATATCATAATCGAACACTCTATAGTTATATTCATTTTTTTTTTGTAAGTTTTTTTATGTGCCTCACTCTTGCACACAATTGTCATGACCAACCAATACTTGGGAGTCATGTTCATAGTATCTATTATTTAATAATTATTAGTTAAAAAGTTCCAAAGATTATATATATTTGAGTCTTACTTATATATATATATATATATTTCAAAGTGTATTAGTTTTAGTGTAAATAAAATAGTTATTATTAGTTGAAAGTTCAGAGCTTCAAGAAGTTGAATCTTATTTATATTTTTTTTATTGCATGCATTAGTTTATAGAAGTTTAATATATCATAATTGAATGCTTTATAGTCATGCTTATTTTTTTTTATAAGCTTTTTTTTTATTTTTTTTTTATACAATTCGAAAAATATGTGTTATGTACCCCACTTTTGCACACAACTGTCATGACCAACCAATACTTGGGAGTCACGTCTATAGTATCTATTATTTAATAATTATTAGTTGAAAAGTTCCAAAGATTATATATATTTGAGTTTTACTTATATGTATATATATTTTTTTCAGAGTATATTAGTTTTAGTATAAGTAAAATGATTATTATTAGTTGAAAGTTCAAAGCTTCAAGAAGTTAAATCTTATTTATATTTTTTTTATTATGTATTAGTTTGTAAAAATTTAATAATATTATAATCAAATGCTATATAGTCATACAATTTTTTTTGTAAGTTTTTTTTTATTTTTTTTTATATAATTTGAAAAATATATGTGTTATATGCCGACAGATCCAGGATGTAGGTGAGATTTTCCGGGTCATGTGATCAATCGATCTTTGGTCTTATCTCGGGATCACGTAACCATGTCAGCTCTTTTCTGTTATACAGATCAACGTAACAAAAATAAATACACACACAGATCTTTTTTTTTTTTTAACATCACCGGTCATCATTGGTGTTGTCGCCTTTTTTTACCATTAATATCATCTTTGGCTTTATTCTTGGTTTCTATTGTAATTTCGTTATGTCTTTGTTTTTTTTATACTGCCATTTCATTTGTAGTGTTTTTTTTTTTTTTTTTTATAGTGCTATCGTTTTGTCGTTTCGTCCATTTGCCGTTTCATCCTTTCGCTGTTTTGTCCTTTTGTCCTTTTATCGTTTCGTTAGTTCTTTGTTTTGTTGTCGGTGCCTAAATCGTATTACTGTAATTTAGAAATAGAGTTAGTATTAGTTAATAGCAGATTTAAATGTTAAGAATTAAAATAAAGATTAGG